AAAACACACCATGCCAAAGACATATGAGGCACAAAAATTGAAACAATAAACTTAAACAATAAGGATAAATCAATGAAAATAGGATGTGGGGGCAGTTTAGAAAAGAAATTGATGGGGTTTTTGTTATGAAATTGAGTTGTTGGGAGGAAATAGAAACCCAAACAACTTGTATGGGATATTTGGATGGTCCCCTATTGCATTTAAACTCGCTTAAAAAGACTATCTACTCTCTTTTACTCTATCTGTACTAAAATATAATTACTTCTATTGTTATAGAACTGTTAAAAATATAGCTACTTTTCTATTTGCTCTCTCATCTCAAACAATCACAACCATTCCCCATTTAATTTTTTTTCACATATTTTCTCATCCTAACCAATCACAACCATATCTCATTTATTTATTTATTTCATCTACTTACTCATCCCAACCAATTACAAACATCCCTCATTTAATTCCATCCCTCTATTTAATACACGTGAAAAACTTTAGAATTGCATATATTACGAGATGGAGGCAGTAGGATTTTGACCATCAGGTCTATATTAAAATAATACTTTATAAGACCTGATGGGTTTACAATTTTACTCCCTCTATTTCATATTATAAGTGGTTTTGATTTTTTTTTCACTAGTCAAACTTTGTTTAGTTTGGCCAAGTTCATAGAATAACTTAGTGACATCAAATTAGTTTCATTAAATTTAACATTGAATATTTTTTTATAATATATTTGTTTTTTGTTTGTAATGCTACTATATTTTTTCTATAATCTTTGTCAAATCTAAATAAGTTTGACTAAAAAAGAGACAAAACGACCTATAAGATGAAATGGAGGGAGTACAATAATACTCTCCAGGATAAATTTACGCATATAATTTTTGTTTCTTTTAAAGTAAGCAATTGAAAATTAAATTTATTGATGACTATAATTTTAGAAGTTTCGATCAAATTATAGTCCCTTCGTTTCAAATTACATGTTGTTTTACGTTTGTATTTGACCATTAACTTCTAGAAATCCATATAGTCCAACAAAATGTAAATTATATATCACAATCATATTTCTCATGTTAAATCTAAAAATATAAATCGTATGATGTTAAAGTATGAGTTTACTCATATAGAAATTGATGATCAAATAATATTTGATTTAAGACAAACCCAGACAGCTAATTTTAATCTTAAACCTCGAATAAATATTCATGAGGCAAATCCTCTGTAAGACAGGTAGGGGTAGGTGCCTCCCATTTAGGTGATTACCAGATTTGCCCTTCGTACTGCTTAGAGTCATGCACCGGCACGGTTACGGCAAGACCCGGCGGATCCGAGCCATCTGACATCCCCACTACTTCTGCCGTCCTCCCCAGAAAACGTGTCACCCCCGGTTCGCGGCTCGGCCGCGTCGCGTCCAGTCCCGCAGGGGCAAAACCGTCCTTCAGACTCTCCTCCCGATTCGTCGCCGCCCAGCAGTCCGTCCGCCCCAGAGGCCCCCACCCCCCAGGTCTCTCCCCCTCCCCTCGCATCCATAAAAGCAGCCCCGAGCCGCGCGTGGCCCCGACCAAGCTCGATCGAAGCTCTCACCTCTCCTCTCTTCTCTTCTCTTCTTCCGCGACACGTCTTCGCCGCCGCCGCAGCCGCCGTCGGGCGTCGGCTCTCCTCCACTTACCAGAAAACCGAATCACCGAGAACTTCTCTCTCTAGTATTCAAGGCGAGAGATTCCCACCCCGCGATTCCCTTGCAGGCCGCCAGATTTGTGGGCCTTGTGGGGGTGGGCGCTCCATTAAACCCGAGAGAGGGGAGGCACGCGCGCCCGCCGAGGGGCAGCGCAATGGCGAGGTGGGGCGCCGCTCGGATGGCGGCGTGCGGGCCGTGGGGCCGCAACCGGAGGGTCGGCGCCGGCGACGCGTTCGAGGCCAGCGAGGTGAGGCGGGACGGGCGCAGCAGGATGATGCCCGCGTGCGGGCCGTGGGGGGCGGGCCATGGCGGCGGGGACCCGGCGCTCGAGAGGGAGCTGTCGCGGGACGGCAGCCACTACAGCATCTCCAGCGCCATCCTCCCGTCGCTCGGCGCGCGGAGCAACCGCCGCATCAAGCTCCGCCGCTTCATCATCTCCCCCTACGACCGCCGATACAGGTTAGTTCGCAACCTTCTCTGTCTCTCTCTTCCCTATCGCCATCACAACTCTCGCCGCTGCTTTGTTTCAGATTTTTTTTTTCTTGCGCAGTCTCTTGTGTACAGTCCTGCTATACTGGCTGCATTACAGCTTTAATTTTGGTGATGGTCAGCGCAGAAGTGCTTTATTTTTGTATTCATAGTTGGCACTGAATTGGTTCGTTCTGCCTCTTGTTAATTCCAATGAGTTATTATATGTTGTCACGAAATAGATGGGTTGCTCATGAAATTTTGTTTTTTCTCCCTCTGTTTTAATGGCTGCTTTGCTGCCGCAATTGTCAGCAAATTGTCTTTAATGTGTTTTCGCGGAAGTGAGAAGTAGAGGTTTTTGTTTTTACTGTTCCTGGTTTGACCTCGACTGAATAATTGATTTGTCTATTTCTTGCTTTTTATAGTACTCATTATCTCCGTTTTAATATGGCTAATTCTATGGCTTGTGAGTGCTTTATTTAGTTATTCGATTTTCTTTTCCTTGAGGAACGACAAGAAAAGCGTGATTTTGATGCTGACGTTCCTGGATTTCTAGTACTCCCGTTTTGCGCTTCTTTACGCAATGCTTCGTTGTCGAAAGAGCTCTCTCACGGAACTCGCATGGAAAACTTTTTTTCTGATTTGTTTACTGCAATTATTTGCCGTTGGACGGACGAGGATTAATAACCTTGTATTTTAGTTATGGACTTGGTGGTTTTACGAATTGTTCAGATTACCTTTTTTGTCGGCCTCAATGACAGTCTTCTGCAATTTGAAGTTATTCTGTGCTATCATTCAATTAATATATTTTTTTGTCTAGTGAGAGTTCTGTTGTCCATTTATTATTTGATAGTATCATAAAATCGCATTACATTAATCTCCATTTTTCTTCGGATCACTCTTTCGGAGATAATCTTGTATACACAGTATACAGTAAGTAGTACGGTAGTTTCTGTGGTACTTCTAGTTGCCACTTGCCACCGAGTTACGGCCAGTACATATACAGTACCGTTGAATAAACAGAGATTACTTGTACAGGAATAAGAAATCACGGAACTTTGAACGAAAGTCCATCTAATACCCTAAACTTTAAAACCGAACATCTAACTCCCTAAAGTTTGCAACCCCTGCAGTGGTTTCGATTTTTGAACAGTGGTTTCGTGTATTTGGATGCTTATAATGACTAAGATGACATATTTGTATTTCGTCATTCCTTGGCCGCAAGTTATATTATATTATGATGTTATGCATATAATGCTAGTGTATGGATTTCACAATATAAATATCTTCCATTCATGGTTTAGGGGGTATATGGACTTCTTCCTACAGGAATATATTGTTTTTTCCTTTGTAAGCATGGTGTTTTTGCTAGTATGAAAAGCAAATAGAAACTTTGTAATATTGAAATCAGAAGAATGAGTAATTCTAACATTTAATTGTTAATACTATGCAGAATCTGGGAGACTTTCCTCATAGTTCTTGTAGTCTACTCTGCGTGGGTCTCACCATTTGAATTTGGCTTCATTCCGAAGCCTACGGGGGCTCTAGCTACAGCCGACAATGTGGTGAATGCATTCTTCGCGGTTGACATCATTCTGACCTTCTTTGTGGCTTATTTGGATAAAATGAGCTATATGCTTGAAGATGATCCAAAGAAGATCGCATGGCGTTATAGTACCACATGGCTTGTTCTTGACGTGGCCTCCACCATCCCATCAGAATTTGCTCGCAGGATACTACCTTCAAAGCTTAGGTCATATGGATTTTTCAACATGCTTCGTCTGTGGCGTCTCCGCAGAGTCAGCTCTCTGTTTTCTAGGTATGTTTTTATCGTGCACATATAGAAAATTCTATGATATACATTCTGTTTTGGGGTCCAACATTTCAATCTGAACCTGACTGAACTCGGTTAAAACATAGTATTAATTAGGCTAGAGCCACTGCCATTTTTGCCTTTTCAATTTGTGTAGTAAACTTAACACTTTTCACTTTTTCTAGGTTGGAGAAGGATAGACACTTCAATTACTTCTGGGTTCGATGTGCAAAGCTCATTTGTGTAAGTGACTGTATTTATGTTATTTTCCTGTGAAGTTTTAACATTTTTGTGGAACATCCCATTTTCTCATCCTTTGATATTGCAGGTCACACTTTTTGCTGTGCACTGTGCGGCATGCTTCTACTATCTTCTTGCTGATAGGTACCCCGTCCCAACTTCTACGTGGATTGGCAATTACATGGCAGATTTCCATGAACGGAGCTTATGGATTCGCTACGTAACATCAGTCTATTGGTCAATCACCACTCTTACCACCGTGGGCTATGGGGATCTACATGCAGAAAATACAAGGGAGATGATCTTCAACATTTTCTACATGCTCTTTAACCTTGGTTTGACCGCTTATTTGATCGGTAACATGACCAATTTGGTTGTCCATGGCACTAGTCGTACTCGAAACTATGTGAGTTCTTTTTGTTCAACCTTTGGTTGATACTTGCATCTAACTGCTCTTTTAAAGTTTGATTCTAACAAGTAGTGTTTGTTATGTTTTGTACTAAAAGAGGGATACAATCCAAGCAGCAACAAGCTTTGGAGTAAGAAATCAGCTACCACCTCGGCTGCAAGATCAGATGATTTCACATATTAGCTTAAAATACAGGACAGATTCAGAAGGTCTTCAACAACAAGAGATCCTTGATTCACTGCCTAAAGCTATTAAATCTAGCATTTCTCAATATCTGTTCTTCCATCTGGTTCAAAATGTTTACCTGTTTCAAGGAGTCTCAAATGATCTGATTTTTCAACTGGTAAGGATAGAGTTCTTTCTGTAGCTGTGTTTTTGTAGTTGCGTACTGTTACAGAATATGCTTATCTGGTTCTTTTACTTGATTTCGTTTTTGAGGTTTCGGAGATGAAAGCTGAATATTTTCCACCTAGGGAGGATGTGATTTTGCAGAATGAAGCACCCACTGACTTCTACATCTTAGTTTCTGGTAGTGTGGTAAGAATACTCTTTAATAACTACTTTGTTATTTCCAAGTTGATATAATACTAAGCTTCAGAGAGTGCAGTTGAAAAAGTAGGAGTAATTGAGCTATCAGTACTGATATCAGTTTTAGTTATATAAATGGTCATTCTGAAATTCGAGTCACTTTTGCAGGAGTTAGTAGAGCAGCAAAATGGTGCAGACCAGGCAAGACTTCTGTTGCTTTGAGACTTAATTCCAAGTGAACTCGTGCATCAATTGGTCCTAAATATGATAACTTGGAATTCTGCAGGTGATACAAGTGGCTACGTCAGGAGAGGTTGTTGGAGAAATTGGGGTTCTTTGCTACAGACCTCAGCTATTCACAGTTCGAACAAGATCCTTGTGCCAGTTGTTGCGTTTGAATCGTACAGCTTTTCTCAGCATTGTTCAATCCAATGTTGGGGATGGAACTATCATAATGAACAACCTTATTCAGGTCTACCATTTATTTGTTGGTCTCTTCTCTGTAACATTTATCGCATATGTTTGCATTTGTAGAAAGATTTTTCATATTCAGAGTGGTAACCTGACCACTGAAACTAGCTCTGTAGTAACTCCTAAATCGAACCACCCTGGAACCTGCATCATCTTGTTTAACAATATGTGAAGTTAAACTAGTATTCCCTCATATAGCCACTAGATTATCTTGAACACAGAAATTGTTTATTCATGTCGACTGTTCTGCCATTATCTAAAAAATATGTCGACTGTTCTGCGACTATCAGACTTGATGTTCACTGTTGTCTGTTGTGATCTGGATAAGGGCTGTTTATTTTGTTTTTGCTTCATTGACATTTATCATGCTTTATGTCGTGCAGTATTTTGAGCAGTACTGAGATCCACTCTTTTTTTTTCTGATGCAGTTCCTTAAAGAGCAGAAGGAGAACAGTGTAATGGCTGGTGTCGTAAAGGAGATAGAGAGTATGCTAGCTCGGGGAAATCTGGATTTGCCAATTACACTCTGTTTTGCAGTAACTAGAGGAGATGATTTTTTGTTGCATCAACTTCTTAAGCGTGGTATGGATCCAAATGAGTCAGATAATGACGGGCATACCGCACTGGTCAGTTTAGTCAACTATACGTATCTGTGTTGTTTATTTTTCTATGGACTTATGCTGACCAAGAAAGTTACCACTTTCAAATGTTCATGATTAACAGCATATAGCTGCTTCCAAAGGAAACGAGCAATGCGTCAGGCTTCTATTAGAATATGGAGCTGATCCAAATGCCAGAGGTATGCCGAAAACTGGAAAATTTTGACAGCATATAGTGTACAATTTAACTGTAAGAGTTAAATGGTATGAACAGCTGGATGTTATATCCAAACCCTGCAATATGTCATGGCCTCACGTCACCTGTAAATCTTACGAGGCTAAACTTGCTTGCAAAATTCCTGTTGAATTTTCTACCAATCTAACATCTAGAACTTACTGATTTACTTAATAGAATTTGCTCCATGAGTTTTTGCGAAGACGCAAAAGTTTTGTGCGTCGATGTAATTAACTCCATGAGTGATGAGTCTTATATACAGATGTTCAATACACCATCTGACATGCCACGATTTTCTTTTCCATTTTCCAGACTCAGAAGGAAAAGTTCCACTGTGGGAAGCGCTGTGTGAGAAGCACGCCGCCGTCGTGCAACTATTAGTCGAAGGCGGCGCGGATCTGTCGTCGGGTGACACGGGCTTATACGCTTGCATCGCCGTGGAGGAGAGCGACACCGAGCTGCTCAACGACATCATTCACTACGGAGGCGACGTGAACAGGGCTCGCCGGGACGGGACCACCGCCCTGCACCGCGCCGTCTGCGACGGCAACGTCCAGATGGCCGAGCTCTTGCTGGAACACGGAGCCGACATCGACAAGCAGGACGGCAACGGCTGGACCCCGAGAGCCCTCGCCGAGCAGCAGGGCCACGACGACATCCAGCTCCTGTTCCGGTCGCGCAAGGCGGCGACGGCGAGTGGCCACCATCACGTCCCAAGCTCCACCACCACCAGGGTGGCGCCGGCGGCGGCGGCGGCATCACTGATCGGGAGGTTCAACAGCGAGCCCATGATGAAGAACATGATCCACGAAGACGCCGACCTGCCCAGCCGGGTTCTCCCCGAGAAGCTCCGGAGGAAGCGGGTCACCTTCCAGAACTCCCTCTTCGGGGTCATCTCGTCGTCGCAGGCGCAGCGGGAGACCGACCACCCGCTCTCGAGGGGTGGCCTCGCGGCGACGGGCTCCCCGAACCCGAGCAGCGGCAGCCGCAACGCCGTCATCAGGGTGACGATCAGCTGCCCCGAGAAAGGGAACACCGCCGGGAAGCTCGTGCTCCTGCCTCAGACGCTGGACATGCTCCTCGAGCTCGGCGCCAAGAAGTTCGACTTCGCGCCAACCAAGGTTCTCACCGTGGAGGGCGCCGAGGTTGACGAGGTGGAGCTCATCAGAGACGGCGATCATCTTGTGCTCGTCAGTAATGAATGGGATGCAGAGAAGATGAAAGGCAAGAGCTAGTAAAGGAGTTGTGTGTTTTTTTTTCTTTTTCTTTTTTGGTTGTTTACTGTTGATTTCCAAGAAAGGGGAGATAGAATTTACCCCGGAGTCCAACGGTTAGCTAAGGAATAACTGGAAATCATTGGTATAGTTATTCCACCATGAAGAGATGGTGAAATTGATGGGTTACGTCCGGTGTTCGTAAGTAGAGAAGCGTAAGAATTTGATTTTGTTATAGCGTGTTGTGATGTTAGCCTGTTTTTGTTTTAGTTGGCAAGTTGATCTGCTGGCATGTACAGTTTTACGCTTTTCTAATTTTTGAAGGAAAAGTCCAAAGAATGTACCAGTGCTTCATTATTATTCTCACCTTCACTTATTGATTTGGGTGATTTTAACTCATGGAATCAACCTTCGGTTGGAACAGAACAGTTACGTACTGACGGAATGTTTTACTCCCCTATCCTGAAATATAACTCGAATTTTGGGGCGGAGGTAGTTTTAGCATCTTTGCCTCTAGAGAAATGAATTTTTGGAAATGATGATTTTACCACCATACCAAGCTGCATAACCGATTATATTAAGTAGGAAACAATTTTGGGGAACGATATCTCTACTACTTAAAAAATTCGTAGTGGTGGTCTTGATTCCTGACATAGCAGACGCATCTGACAGACACGCGTAATCTCAACCATCCGATTGCCATATCCAATGGTGTCAATCTCCTCCCCATCACGCGCTCGCTCCTCTCTTGAATCGATCTCCTCCCCACGCCCACTCCTCCTCCTCCCACGCCGCGTCCTTCGCCCTCCTCCCTGGGCGACGCTCGCCCCGCCGCCGCATCGCCTCCTCGCCAGCCACGCCCGCCGGCCTCCTCCGCGATCGCCGCCGCCCTCTCCAACGCGCCTCCACCTCGCATCGGATCGATCATCCACCTTCGCCCTCCTCCCTGCGTCATCTCCTCGCCTCCTCACCTTCTCACCTCGCCGCCGCATCGCCTCCTCAGCAGCCCCGTGCCACGCGCGCGCGTCCCGCGCGCGCGTCCCGCGCCGCCCTCGACCGCCGACGCTGCGACCCGCGCCGTCTCCTCGCTGCCGTCGCCGTGCCCCGAGTCCCACGTCCCGCGCCGCCCTCGACCGCCGACGCGGGAGCAGGAGGTCACGCCGCGTCAACACCGCCGAGGAGCCGCTTCCTCGCCGCCGTCGCGACGACCCGCGCCGCCCTCGACTGCCGCCACCTCTGCCGGTCATGATCGCCTTCATCTGAAGGTATGTATCCCCTCCTACCCCACCACTTCTGTCAACCGCCGCCGCCGCAATAGCCGCACGCCATACCATCCCCGACCTGCAAACCGGCCATCGCCGCCCGCACGCCACACCACGCTGCTGCGAATCCCCGGTTGCTAGGTCTAGGTTACCATCTCCGTCGCCGCTGCCCAATCCCCAACCAGCCATCGCAGCCTGCACAACTCACAACATCGCCACCGAATCCCCGCTGCTAGGTCACCGTCGCCGCTGCCAGATCCCCAACTGGCCATTGCTGCCTCATCCCTAGCCTAGGTCACCGGGACTACTGCTCCCCCGTCAGCAGTTCAAAGCCCCCAACTAGGTACTGTATATTGTTGATCACGAGATGTAAATGCCACTTTTCAATCCCAGGAAACCTAGATCCAGGAGGAATCAAGCGGGAGTTCAGGGACATGCACTTGGCATCTGCTGAATTTTTTTTGGCATTGATACGGTGAGTCTGTCTTTCTCTAAACATTAGAAAAAATGGAGAAAGAAATGGTTTATGTATGCCTTTCATGCTTTTACCATGTTTCGATTTCAGTCTTGATGTTCTGCCCCTGTCCGTTTGTTTGCTCCTGACTCCTGCTCAGAGATTGATAAAGGGTTTCTTCCATTTGCATATTTCAGAGTAATTTTGAAAACTGAATTGAAATGGTGTGATTTTGTGTGAGACAGCAAACAACTCTTCTGATTGGCACATTGTAATTTAAGTGCACAGTTGTTATAAGTAAGTCGATAGTGTATTTTCATTCAATGTTGTGCAGTTTACTAGCAAATCAAACTCAGATTTTTCTGCTGAGCTGATTGCTGGGGAGATATTTTCTGTCAAATGGCATCCCATTAGATGAATTTGTGTACTATGTTCAGCAGGATTTGGCAGGAGACTAATGTGCATGCATGTTTAAACCACTGGGAATTATCATGTGATGGCATAAAGTATTTTTCTTCTGCCTGTTTAAACCACTGGGAAAGAATTATAATGCTTTTCACAAGTATTACTATTTCTCGTAGTCATAACCTTGCTATTTTGTGCTGAGCTATTCATTTAGCATTTGCGCTAAGTGTCTAATTTTATGTGTGTCTAGGCCGCCGACACCTCCGCCGGTCATGACCGCCACGGAGGTCGATCCGTCGCCTCTGCCTCCGCCTTCGTCCTCGACGCCACCGTCTCCCTCTATAGGTACAGCCGTACAGGTCCCCTCCTGCATCACCCCAACCTCCCCCTTCTCTCTCTACCCAACCCTAATTACTCGGCTGCTTCGTTGATCTGCTCTGCACCGCCAGAGCAACCACGACTACGCCGTCGGGTGACCGACGCTTGCCGTTGGCTATTTTGCCGATCTCCTCCATTTCGCCAGGAGACCGATGCTCGCTGCTTTTGCCTCTTGGCTCACTCTCCCCAATCCGCGCCGCTAGATCACCATCGCCCGGAGTCGCCTGGGTCTGCGTCGCCCACCAAGCTGATCTCCTCAGCGCCGTCCCAATATCTTCCTCTTCCTCGTCCGCCTCCTTCTCCGCCGCCACCAATCTCTGCCGCCGGAATAGCATCAGCACGAAACGCCTCGTCCCTCGCCTTGCTGATCTCCTCAGCGCTGCCAGAACAATGTCGCCCCGCTTCGATCTGATTCACCGAAAGGTACAAGATCATTCCTTTTTTTTATCCACCATCAGTACTATGCTTCATCTCTCCCCTATCAGCCGCCGTTGATTTGATCAGACGAGATTCAACCAAAAGAAAATAACCAAAAACAACATTTTGGTAATGCATTCTGTGTTAGTGGTATGTTATGTGGTAGTATCACTGAAGAATTCATTTAGTTAGATAATAGGAGTAATAACTAAAGTATTCATGTCTATGAACAACGCATAACTGCCTGCACGTGTCTAAACATCTCCAAAGGACAATAGTATCTGGTTAATCAGGATTATTCTGGATGGTTTTTCTCTTACTGTAGAACCAACATGTATATTCACATATAATTTTCTAACTGATGATAGAACTGACAGGCTAATAATTATTTTAGTATGGTCACATTATGAACTAATAATTGTTCTGACTTCTGAACTAATAATTAATCAACTATACAGCTTCATAAACACCATTTGTGATGTCTCCTGCGATGTCTGTTTCAGCCTTTCAGTCTGATGATTCTTGATCATTTGGCTGGATGTGAAGTTGTCTTCCACACGTCTAAAAGAATGAACCTTAGTGGTCATGTATAATCCTGGAAACTGTCTTTAGTTAATCTAAACTCTTGATACATTAGTTAATCTAAACTCTTGATACATTAGTTAATCTAAACTCTTGATACATGTACAGGGTTCAAATGCTTTTCTAGCTTCTCAATGAAATTATAACACCAGGTATGATCATCTATTTCCCTTGGTTTTGAATTAAATGAAAACCAGATAGGTATCAACCTTTGCATAGTAAACTCTATTTTCTAATTGTCATCTGCCATAATTCACTCTATATTATGCACACATCGAATATCGAATAGTACTGACTATATTTTTTGGAACATAGTGATCATTTAGCAGTTAAGAAATGGTTATTGATAGTCCACATTCTGCAGAACTGGACGGGGGATGGGGCTCCTTTTGGCATTATTAGTCAGAGAATGTTCTGCTCTGCATTTTCCTTTTCACTGTACTGAACTTATACCATCTGTTGCTATTCCTTCGCATAGTGACAATTTCAATGGCTTTTTTTTGCCATGAAATTTCAAAGGCCTTTACAAGGATAATATGACCTGACCTTCTATTAACATTGCATTTGGGACTGCTGCTTGTTGACCACTTTACTGTACTGGGCAATCTGATATCAATATGGAATTTAAATTTGATAAGGCAAAATTCATTCTCTTCGGAGATCAATATGGAGAGTCAAGAATCAAGATAGCTACATCATATTTTTGATAATTCATACTATTTCAATTGGATATGAAATTTACTTCTTGTGGATTTCTTTTATTCATAAAATATGCTAATTTTGTTTTTGCAGTTTGAGTAACCTTTATTTTGGTGACTACAGGTAAAAAAAAATCACTTACATGGGCTCATCAATATGTTAAATCTTTTCACGATCAACATTAGCTTTATCATCTTAGCTAGCCAAGCCCTGAAGGTACAGAGTAATCACTATCCTCTAACTCTGATGAAAATGCCATGTTCTTCACTCTCCATCTTTATCCCCTGCAAATCAGCAATGGCTGGCCCTTCTATTCATTTTTGTATCTAAGTTTAGAAATTACTCCAGGGTAAATCCATATGTTGAATTTCTTTACTGGGAGAGCTAATTAGTTGATGCGGGAAATAATTTTCCCTCCTGGACTCACTTCTGAACTCTCTGCAGGCAATGTACGTATTATTTAGGGATGATGGAACTCTAAAGTTACCATTCTTGTTCCTTGTGCTACTTGACAGTCAACTGACCATTTGGAATATGATACTGTAATTTATATATGTATATACATAAATATCGTGTTTATTTTGTTTCCATACAAGACATTGGAAATTTCCCTATAAGACATTGGAAAAGATTGAGAGAGCTAAATTGCAAAGAGTTGATTTGTGCTAATCTGTAGTTATTTCAGTGCACTATGTCTTGGCTTGCTTAGTACATGCCATATTTTATGAGGAACATGATCTTTTCAGGCTCTACCGGAGTTCAACCGATAACAACGCAAAAAGAAAGAAAACATAATAATCATATATTACTTGCTTTTGCTAAGGCGTTATAGAATCGAGTGTTTATCAACGATAAATCATAAAATTTCTTAAAAAGTTATTTTTCCCGTTGCAACGCATGGGCACGTGACTAGTAGTGGAAAATTTTGATTAAAAATATTTAATTAAATAAATTAAAATTTTAACAAATTTTGGCTGAATTTTTAAAAATCCTAAATTCAAATCTTACAAATTGCGAGAATCATAAACATTTGACAGGGGCAAATGAATGAAAAGTTCAAAAAAAAGGGGGTTAAAAATCAAACCTTTTTATTTGAACAAAATTTGGCTGAATTAAAACAGTTCTATATTAAAAAAAAATTGAGGTGGCCTGTCTGTGCATCTGTGGAACATCATTGTATATCATGCTCATGTATGAAATGTTTAATGCTGACAACTTCACATGGTAATGTAACATCAAAAAGAGCAATGACAATTTAACACAAGTTATAGACCCAAAAACAACAAGTTCTTCCAAAGATAGAAAACAGATACTGCTGCCAACTGGCACAAATACATACTCCTACGGTACCAACCGTATTTTTTTCCTAAAAAACACATTCTCTGTAGCCCAATGCTGTCAGAGTCTCAGAGATACACAGTAACACAAAGGACGGGCATGTTATTTTCGGTAAATGAACTACTACCAGATAGTAGGACTTCAGTAAATTAAAGAATTAAAACACCAACTCGCCACAGCTGTTCAGATTTCATCCGAAATTTGCTCCGTCGAAATGTGTAGTCATCTACCCTATAGTTCAACAAATACTTTCACTCATTCTTTCATTCATCACTCAACGGTCCAGATTGTCTCGGTGAAATCTCAACGATTGAGATCGCTCCCACCTCCCACCTCCCTCGATTGCGCGCTCCTCTTCGCCCCCTCTCTATCGCTCTCACGCGCCGCCGCCCCTCCCCAACCCCGACTCACGCGGAGCCACCGCCCTCGACTGTCGCCGCTCCGCCGTCTTCGCATCCGTCATCTCCGCCACCGATCCCCGCGCCACCGCCGTCGCCGCCGCCCTCGACTGCCGCCGCTCCGCCGTCATCGCATCCGTCGTCTCACCGCCACCGATTCTCGTCGCCGCCGACGCCTTCCTCGCCTGGTAGCTGCCGAGACCTTCCTCGCGTGGCGGGGCGCAGCCGCGCAGGCGTGCAGCACAGGCGCCAAGCAGGGCAGGGGCAGGGCGGATGGCGCAGCAGCACCAAGCAGCAAGCAAGGCAAGCAGAAGTAGTAGCAGCCATCAGGCCATCACGCCCAATCTCCCATCAGCAGAAAATGGACAGAAAGAGAAAAGGGAAGGCACTGGCATCACAAAGAGGTTGTACTTTTTTTTATTTGACAATTTCAGAACATTGCAATTTCAAAGTGTACAAATTTATTACTGAAATTGCAATTAAATATTTTATTTTTAGGATGCTTGTACATTTTGTTTCACTCATTGCTTTTTATCTTATCAAACTAATCAATCTTTGCTATTTGTTTTTCAGATTCTACATATGTATCTATCCTCATTAGTTTATATATGTGATGTACGGCTGAAAGCTTGAATCAGTGAATCTTGAGGTATTTTTGAGTACCTACCTTTATATTTACACTTATTTGCAAATGGATGATGAATTGTGAACTTGTGATTAAGTGCTTGTTACTATGACTTGCTGATATAATGTTACATTGTACAATATTGTGCATTGAATTTTTTTTTTCTTAATTCTTGTTCTGTGTTAACTCTCGCGTGTGGTAGTTTATTGGCCACACCTAAATTTTTTTTCCGTCCTCCACCGCTGTTCATAGAGATGCATAATGGCTTTAGGAATCCCCTTTGTTGACTAAACCCCCATTGTTCATTATCAAACATTGTTCACTGTGCATGGATATCTGTGATGCAAAACTCTAATTCAAAGCCTGTTTTGCATTTCAACTAAATTTCATGTGTTAATCTCATTCGTGTGGTAGGATTTTTTTTTTTTGGGGGGTTTCATTGTTGTCATTGGATGAGATACTTCACATCTTGTTAACATTTATCGTCAATCTTTCATTGTAAAATTGTGGGGAAGAAATGGCCTACCTCAGATAATTCTATTGTGTCAATTTTTCTATGTGATTGCTTATATCTAGCAACCTGACTTAACCTTTCATTTCAAATGATTTAATCTATAGGACGAAAATTCAGATTGCCGAAGAAAAATTCAGGCTGACAGGACACCATGTCAACTACTATTGTTTGCTGCACAATCAACGAAATTTTTGGCTGATTCTACTAAATTTCTATTTGGTATAGGTAATTTCTTCCATAATGATTACCCCTTGCAAATAGTGCAAATGTATACTTCGTGGGTCAATCTTCGCACTGTTGTAGAATCTGATGTTTAAAATTGCCTGCATCCGGTTTACAAATCAAGAAAAAAAAATTGCCCTGATTACTGTGCCAACCATATTTTCTTTTGAGGGATTGACCAATCTTTTTCTTGGTATCGTTCTCCAAACTATCTCTTATGTGTTGGAAATTATTATATACTTTAGTTTGCACCTATTGATCTCCTACTTCTTCTGTATTGTAGTAAGGCATGGCATCCATGGATGATGTGGATTTTTCACCACATCAAGCCACACCTAAGGAGTCAATGAACTCCAAGGATGATGCGAAGGTGCAGCCTTCGTCAGGGCAAACACCAAACAAGGGGAATTATTACATGGGCCACGCGAATGCCATCATGATGATGTTTCAATACATACGTGATGGTTGCCGACGTGTTGAGAGTTCCATGGAAGACTACACGTGCAAGAAGGTAGAAAAAGGATACGGTGAAAAAAGGAAGGTGGGAGAAGGGTATGATCCTCGCTGGTCTTCTCCCATCGAGATAACAATGAAGATCTGCAATGACGACGTCTCCGATGAAGCAACCGAGAAGGAACCATGATTTAGTATTATCACTACTGTGTTTTGGCTTTAGAATAAAATAACATTTCTTGTGAATTACACAAGAAAATTCAGTAAACAATGTCGTTCGGGCCTATTCAGTATTGCTTGTGAAATGCACAACCAAATTCGATGAAACTTTGTTGTTATGATGCCTATTCAGTATTGTTTGTGATTGAGTTGATTTCTGGGACCTATACAAATGTGCTCTACCTCCTGTTGAACTACTATGTATTTGTTTGGCACGGTTGGATGCATAGCAATGTTCCTTTATATTTGTTTTCCATGTCTTCTTATATAAGGAGACACATCACACACCAGTTGTGGTTTAGATCTCACATAAATAAATTAAGTCGGCCAATTTTCTGACGTTGTGTAGCACTATTGATTTCTGTAATTCTTTTGCTTTAGATCAAACACATGTAATTCTTTGCTTTAGATCAAACACATTTTATTTGCTTCAGGGCTCCATTAATTTAAAGAGCTGACCAATCACATGAATATTGATTTATGAACATGAAAGCGTATAAAAAAAGCAAATATAATTAACATAAGAAACCAGTATTGCTAATTTGCTATTATGTTGCCTATTCAGTCATGATAAAGGAGTAAAGGACTGCTAGATGTCAAACTTATGTGTATGGTCCAAATCCTGTAATGGCCCATTAACAACTAAAATACCCATGATAAATACTTATATGCAATACTCAACCTAAGTGCCTTTGATCTGTCACGTTATCATACATCTTAAGGCACAGATATATGCATTATCATATATCTTTAATATCATATTATTATGCATTATGACATGGGGCACAAATATATTGGTATATCCTATTCTAATATTTTACTTGCAACATATTTGATGTATGATATAAATTGAATTAAAGCTCAAATGCACAGTTCATATAATAATATTTTTTTGCTAAACATGAAAATTTTAAAAATTATTAAAGACAAATAGAGTTGCACCGTAGCGTTTAGCACGGGCATATTACTAGTAGTCAGTAGTTAGCTGATATATGACAGCTGGAGCTGGAGTAGACATGAACTGAACACAGCAAGCCTGTGCTGTACAGATTCAACTTGCTTAATTGAAATCATTCGGAGGTATCATTATATGGGGCAAAAAATTAGAGGAGCTCTAGGAACCCTTGAGATTTTGGGTCAGGCTCCACTACTGCACTACATTGGCTCACACAAACTCACACCAACTAGAGAGATCTACTCAGTGTAGAGGACAGAAAGACAGGGCAAAAGGCAAAACGAAAAGAACTAGTATGCTACAATCTTTGCAATGAATCATCTGATGACACCAGTCCTGATATGAATGGAGAAAGAGCCGAAAGCAATGCCTTGGGACACTCCTCATGTGGCAAATGCCCACAATTTGATATCGTTACCAGCCTCTGCAAAATAACAAGAACTCATTGGCACAATGTATGGAGTAACCCTAACAGGGAAGTAATATAGAGTATCATGCAAGAGTCCTCTTCAGAAGCAGATTCACTATACTGAGGCAAAGGGACTCAAGATTACTTACAGAATTTACAAGCCTTGAAGCCATTACTTGCGTTGACTTCGAAGAAACAAGAGCATCCTCAGAGCCTGCTACAACCAGAACAGGGAGGTCTTCCACTGATCTTAGTAAATCTGCTGCTCTTTTTGATGATAGGACAGTCGAGAAAGAAAGACGTCCTACTTCATGGAGAGCTTCATCCCAGCCTTCAACAAATAGTGGAGCCTAAATGTAAAAACCCATTTCAAGTCAGTTCGTAGTTCATGTTCACAGAATAAGTGAAAGGATGCATGTTAAAACATTTAATTTAGCATCAAGGAACAGGAAGACAATAAATAACTAACAACATGCAAGAAAAGTTCCACTTTCCTTGCATTCAGACAATATGTGGTGGAA